GATAAATGATGAATATAAACCAACAAGTTGGAAAGCAAATGGAAAGGAGAGCTATAAGCTGCAAATTGAACACAAAATGTTACAATTCTAACATTTTTGTTTCAAATTCCGTTTTAAAATGTTACAATTCTGAGATAATTAGCCCAAAGCTACAAGTAAAAATTTTTCTACATCCCAACATCTTAAGTTCTGAATGGAAGAGTAGGCGAAGGGCCTAGCAGTGCAGCAGCCAAAGTCTCAGCAAAAGAAATTGAAGAAGGGCTCCCTAGCTCAACAAGCAACCTCTCTGGCACATCAACAGTCGAAGTTTCATAAGGGCCAAGAATAGACAAAGAGGCAGGGACCTCAGATTCAACTAAGGCTCTTTTGGCCAGCTCAGTGGGGAGGGAAGAAGCAGGCTCAGCAGCCAGGGAAGTAGAGATGTCTAAGGAGGCAGAAGCATTTTGAGCTGAAGTCCCAACTAGAGAAATGAGCCCTCCAGAGTCTTTGGGCACATCTTTAGAAACAGGAGGAACAGGAGCATCATCCTCTTCTTCATCAGACCCCTCGGCCTCTTCCTCAAGGGGAATTGAAAAGTCAAAGTCTAGCTCAGGGTAAGTCCTTTTAGCTATACCCTGGAAAACAATCTACCATTTTTCCCACCTGTTGAGAACGTCATCTTCTAGCTGGGCAATCAGTTTATCCATTTTTCGGATGGTAGTGTCTCGCACCTCCAGCACCTCTCTGACAGCCCCTAACTCCTCCCTGACAATATCATTGGCCTCCGCTAGCACTTTGTACTCCCTCTCCATGTTCCTAAAGGAAGTCAGAGCATCAAGGGACTTCTGGCTCTCCTCGATCTAGTCATCGATTTTTGACCAGAGGTCTTCCTTAGTCTTGCTGAGCTCTTCTTGTCTGGACTTGGCAAAGGAAGACTGCTGCTCCACTTGCTCTTGCAACTCCTTTACTTGGACTTTAAGGTCATTATTCTCAAATGTCAGGTTGGCACACTTCAGCTCAAAAGCTTTGGAAGCATTAGCCGACCTCTCCAGGACTTGGATTCGCTTTAACAAGCTGCTTATTTGAATGGTGGTCTGAAGACAAACATGAATGATTAGTGTAAAGGGAAGAGCGCAGGACAACCAAAAAAAAGAGGGGAGAATTAGACAAATTAGAATCTCACCGAGATACAGCTATACAGCGCAATGGAAACACAGGTTCCCAAGGGTACAGAAGTAGCCGCATCAATGTCAGATTCTGGGATAATGGAGGTAATGACCTCTGCAGCACATTTCATATCGGTAATAAGAGAATTCTCAGACTTCGAGAAAACCCTTTTGCCTGTCATGAGAGGTTGTGAGGTCTCCTTGATTGATGTAGAAGCAGCGCGACTAGGGAAAGTGCGAGCAGTCTCCAGGGCCTCTCAACTTCAGATGCAGAAGGGGAGGACTGGTCTCTCCTAAGAGCATCTTCAGTGGCAGGTCGGGTCCCTTGGGGGGGAAGGAAGTCCTGAGGTTGTTGAAGCATGTAGGGGGGATGGTGGAGCCTTTTGGATAGAGGCAGAGGTAGGGGAAGTACCCATTCTCTGAACCTTAGCTCGAACGACTGGGCTCCCACCAGAACTGCCCTCAGCCTTGCGCTTGGTACCACCCTTGTTTTTCTTCTTTAATAGCTCTACCATAGCTTAGAGCATCTCAGGGGTAGGCTTCATTGTAGAAAACCCTAGGAGATTTAACTTAAGCTGGTTAGTTGAAAGGAAAAAGAAAGGGTGGAGAACAATGAAACCAAATAAGGGAAAGAGCATTACCTTCTACGTCCTCAGGTCGGATAACGGAAAGAGGGATTGGAGGAGGACCGAATCCCTGCCTTTCTAATTCCCAAGGCTTGAGGAGCTCAGAGTACCTCTCTGGATTACACTTAGCCAACTTCAACTTCACCCGCTTGTCCTCGGTGCTGAGTTCAGGTCGAATGCCTAAAAAAGGGGGAACACCAAAGATGCAGAGGTCAGGAAAGCAACTCATAAATCTTCATAGCGCAGCTCAGTCTGGAAAGAACTCAACTAAATTATCTGGGGCTGACCAAGCTCGAGGAATCTCAAGAGTGTTTGTTTTATCAGCAGGGTTGTATTCCCAATTGACACCCCCAATGAAAAAGAAATTCTTTTTCCAGTCTTTGTGAGAACTCGGGAGGTGTGTGATGATCTGCCTAGACGAGGTCCGCCTAAAAACATATAGGAAGCCCTCAGTTGAGGTAAGCTTGACATTGAAAAGGTCCATAAGTAGAGAAATAGTGGGAGTCCCAAGCTCATGCTTCTTAAAGAAAACTAAAAGACCCACTAAAACACCCCAAAAGTTAGGAGAAAGCTGAACAGGGCAGACATTGAGATGCTGCAGAACATTTTTGATGAAGGGATGCAAAGGAAAATGAAGGTCATTCTCGAAAGCAGCCACAAAGAAACAAACTTTTTTGTGCACTTGGGCAACGTATGGGGTGAGTTTATCCGAACACTAGGGTTGAACATCAGGGGGGAAACCAAAACGAATATTAAGAGCTTCCATGAGAATAGGATCCACCTCACTGGGACCCACGAGCTCAGCATGCCTGAAGGAAGTCCCCATACCTGCCGCACTATCAGAAATCCCAACCTCACTCACCTTGCCCTTACCCTTGTCAGCATTAGGAAGTATATGAGAGGAAGATAAGGGGAGTTCCTTGTAGTCCACCTCGGTATCGATAGCCTCAACACCGGGGAAGTTGTCAATCTCATCACTTACATCCCCTAAGTCAGAATCTCTCTCGGCAGACCTATCGCCTAGGAGGGAAACAGAGGAGGAGTTGCTCTAGAAGAAGCAGACATGATTGGTAAAGAGAAAGGCAAATCGAAAGAGTTATAAAAAAGGAGGAAGACTAACTAAATACCCCCTAATAATCCTAGGATCAGCACTGTACCTCCTAACAGTAAGAATTCGCATAATGGAGTTTCAATCCACAAAGCGGGGAAGAGGAGATAGGCAACGATCGCAATTCCAAAAGAAAAAGAATCGAAATATCCAGAAAAATAATGGCCACCTCAAAGTCGAGGGATCTAGAGTGAGGAAAGGCAAGAGAAAGAGAAAGGGGCAGAAGAAAGTGTACCTAGACAAGGAAGGGAGCAACAAATAGCAGCCAAAGAACAAAATTGGAGGAAAAGAGCAAAGCAAGGCTTCGAGTTGAACCCAAAAAGCACAATTTTGAACATAGAATAAGAGAATCGCGTAGAGGAAAGCCCATAAATTGCAGAGAGAAAGAGCAGGAGACAAAGGTGAACACCGTAGAAGATGAACAGAGAGTTCTGAGCGATTTTTGAGCAGTCGTTTGAGCATTTAAAGCTTGAGTAACATGGGCAGAAACATGCGCGGGAATCGAGAAAGCCATGATTGCTATAAACCGTCAAAGAGCCCCCCCCCCCAACGTGCATCTCACATGCGGACTAAGGTCAGATAGGTGCAAGCCTGGTCCAATGCGAAAACAGCTCAGCCCATGCCCAAGTGAGCTTGGGCTAAGGGCTGGGGGGCAACTAATGATGCCTAAAGTAAATCCCAAGTGTTAGCTCAGGAGTTCAGTTCAGACCGGGAGGTCAGTCATATTAACTGAGGTTAGAGGGCAAGGGTTGAATGTCATTTAAGGCAAGGCAACGGCTGGATAACCACGAGAGGTTCCTAAAGCGTTAGGAAGCTATAATCAAGACACCTAATCTCAACCAACCAAGATCTTCTCCTAAAAATAAGGAGAACCCCACGAAATAAGGGCAAGAATCTCGGCCAAGATCCCACTGAATAGGGAACAGCTCTATAAATATTATGTAACGCCCCCAAAGAAGGGCAAAAGACCCTAGAGGCAAAAACTAGCAATTTTACTTCGGTAATCATCATTATTGAAAGGCAAGGAGCAAGAGTCTCCATTAAAAAGTGGATTAGCCGAGCTCCCGAGCTGGTGAACCACTATACTTTTTCTGTGTTAATCCTCCCAGCCCCTAGAAAAATGTTTATTTCATTATCACACCACTATCACTGCAAAGCATAATAACGACTCATTACTTATACAATTCGGTTTACACCATCAGAATCAAATAAAACAAAACTATATAGTTCATGGATAAAGTTAGATAAGTTTTCATCAAATTTGTAACAGCTAATGTTAGTCAATGATACAATGTAAATCTGAAAAATTTCTAATGAACAAATGCAGGACCCAACTAACCCTTTGACAACCTTTACCCAAATTTTTAAAAAAAAAGAGTAAAAAATTTGATTTGGTATAAACATTTTCAATGGAGAAATTCAAATTTAAATGAGGACAAATTCAAATTTAAATAAATGTAAAATATGATAACTGAATCTTTAAAGAAAGGTATCTCGCTTGATATGAGTAAAAAAATGATTTTTCTATGCTTTGATATGAGTATGAGTCTAACATTAAAGAAGGTTTTTAAAATTTTTTATTCAAATTTAAATTTGATTTTAAAAAAGAGTAAGAATTGGAGATGCGCGTAGGGGTGATTTAGTAGTCAAATTTGCCTTCTTGCAAATAAAAAGTCTTAGATTCGATACTCCTCATACTCCATAAAGACCAGTCACCCTTGTTCGTCAGAAGACATGGTCTTAAATTAGTTCGAATTACGATCACTAGCTCAAGGTTCAAGTGAATAGTTGACATAAGTCTCGACGCGAGCCAAAAAAAAAAATGTAGGACCCAACTTGCTGGATACACGCCAATTAAATACCAAACGATCTTGCTTTTAAATTGATCTCCTGCCCGCTACACACTTTCAAACACGGGTTAGAAAATAGACTTTTTATAGGCAGAGTTGCACAAACTCATTGGAAATTTATGCATTTGTATAACTTTTCAATTTTGATTGGCTGCACGTAAAAAATTTAGTTCCCGCGCGTTATTACTGATTCATGATTGTGCATCTCCATCCAAATTGTGCATCTCTTTGTGTTCATCGTACCTGAGTACCACCTCTTTCATAATTTGCCATGGCGAAAGGTGATGTGAAGCTTGTGGGTTCCTGGCCAAGCCCCTACGTCAATCGGGTCCAGGTCGCCCTCAACGTGAAGTCCATCGACTATGAGTTCATTGAAGAAAATCTTGCAGCCAAAAGCAATTCCCTCCTTAAATCAAACCCTGTTCAAAAGAAAATTCCTGTTCTTATCCATGCCGATAAGCCCATCTGCGAGTCCCTTATTATTATCCAGTACATCGATGAGGTCTGGACTAATGGCCCCTCCTTCCTCCCTTCTGATCCGTACGACTGCGCCACTGCTCGCTTCTGGGCAACCTTTATTGATGATGAGGCAGTCCTCCTCATCTTTAGCTAGTGTTGGCAATTAGTTGGATTGTGTCGGGTTTGTGCCTTGTTTAAATTGGGTCGTGACACAATTTGTTCCTCTCATATTTAACTCTTTTATAGTCGTCTATAATCAGGTTTACGGGTTCACCTGGTTATTATCAGCACTTGTCAATTCTGTATCAATTTCATATGATTGATGGGTTGCGTTTCGAATCATATCTATGTAATGTCTCCAGAGAAACTTCAATTGACTGTGTTTTGACATGATTTAAATGGTTGCAGTGGTTTCCGTTAATCGGGGAACTTAGGACGGCACAAGGGGAGGAGGCAAAGGCTGCAGTGATAGAGAGAATAGTTGAAGGGTTATTGTTGTTGGAGCAAGTGTTTGACAATTGTGGCAAAGGGAAGGTTTTCTTCGGTGGTGATAGTATTGGGTACCTTGATATTGCTTTGGGTTGCTTCTTGGGGTGGCTGAGGGTGGCAGAAATTACAGCTGATGTGAAGCTGCTGAGTGAAAGCAAGACACCAAAGTTGTTGGGATGGGCTGAGAGGTTTTATTCAAATGATGCTGTTAAAGATGTAGTACCAGAGGCTGAGAAGCTTATAGAAGCTCTAAGATATAAGCAGGCAGGGGAAAAGCTCCAGCTTTAAATTTACGTCTATGGCGGTCAGAAATCTAGCGCAATAATGTATATATTTTTGCTGCCTGCTTGTGGAAGATGATCTCTCTGAGTCTCTACTAGAGGAGTGAGGTATCCCACAACCTTATCTCGGAGAGTTTAGTATTACATCCATCAATTATAAGAAATGTGTTTTGTTGTAGTTAAAGAAATACCAACTTGGTGCTTGAATAATTGACATAATCCATGGATGAAAGCTCCTCCCCCAAATTAGCATGCTTATGATCAGATCTATAATCTTTAACTACGTATGGTAGCCTTTTTCTTATGAAACGTGTTATCTTTATATCCCTTTTTTTTTATTGCTTTAATTTGTCTTGTCCTGCTTTCGACTGACTACTTGAGTTGTAGTCCAGCAGCGCTAAGAGTGAGTTGGATTATTGATCCTGAGTAGCTGTTTTAATTGAGTGGAGTTTATCGAACTTAAATATGTTTAGATTTGATATTGTCGTGATCGACAGAGCTCGACCTTAAAACTTAGTTTCTTGCTCAAGCTTTGAGTTGAAAACTTGAAATTCAAGTATAATTTGCTAAAATTAAGCTCTAAATAGTCTATCAAGATTAAATTGTTGTTTCTTAAGTGATTCGGATTTGGATTATGAGTATGAAGCTATGACAAATATTCTGGTCAGAATCAAATTCGATTCTTAATTCAAATTAAGATGATCAAAACCCTGAGTTAAGAACATTTTGTTATTGGGCCGAACAAATATTTTAGACCATTTGAGCTAGAGGCAGTAGGGTTCTAAAGTAGTCTTTCTAGTTTGTCTACAGCCCCAGGCCAACCATCTCACTTTTATATGGGCTTTAGGTAGAGTCTGGCAACTGAGAACAGTATGTAGGAGCCGTGTGTGTGAATCTGTTTAGACTGATGGTGTCAAACTAGATATGGCCCGCCGAAATTTGCCCTCGATCATTATTTTTATTTTATTTTTTTAGAAAAAAGACATGGCCCGCCAAGTTCAATTTTAAAAGGAGCAATCAACATAGGCTTGGATGATGGAGCTATCAATCTTAATAATTGATGAAGGATGAAGATAAAGTGAAATTCTTTCAAGGATTTTGTCTTTAAAGTTTTGTTAAAAAAATCCCTTTATAATTACTATGTTTGAGGAGTTCTAGAAATAAAGTTTTATTATTGATGGAAAATAATCTATATGGATAGTAACTTGACATGATACACACTACCCAATGTTTCTGAGAGCTCAAAATCTTATATATGTGTGTGTGTGTGTGTGTAGCTATATAGCTTACTAACAAGTAGATGCAACTTAATTTCAGAATCTTTGAATTGCTGCTACCAGAGGAGATGGTCATATGGGTAAGTTGGTAACCACAGTTCCAAGGGTTCTGTAAGCTTTTTTGAGGTTTTGGAGCGAAGGGGGGAATAATATGGAAAGTGGATATGATAATTGCTCTACTTTTGATAATGATGGTGAGTTCATTGGTTGACTAGAAGATGCTCTTGTTGATTATAGGTAAATCTCTTTACATATATGCAAAGACAAAATACGGTTACTCATTTATAATATTTCGTAAAATTTAAGTTTGGGATTTGTTAAATCAACTGATTATCTTTGCAAGCTTTTTTGGAATTGAATGCGAGAGATCTAGGAAGATTAGGGTCCTTTTTAATTTGTGTTTCAAAAAATAATATTCGAAAGTTATTTCTAAAAAGAGTTTTGGAAAACTTTTTTTAGCATTTTTTTGTGTCACAAAATTAGTTTGGTTATATTATGATTTCAAAAACAATTTCACGAAATATAAAACATTAAAATTTATTTACACAGTAACTCAAAAAATAATGAAAATAAAAATATGGTGGACGTGGTGGTGGTGATGGAAGTGTGTTGGTGGCGGCGGTGGAAGTGTGCTGTTGATGGAAAGGTGGTGGTAGAAGTGTGGTGGTGATGGAAATATGGTGGTACTGGTGGTATTTTTTAAATTCTGAAAATGTTTTCAAAAATACACAACACAGTTATAACTTAATTTTAATTTTTATTCTTAATTTTTTTTAAAAAAAATAAACCGACTAAATAACTTTTAATCTAGAAATTATTTTCGAAAATAAAAAATAATTTTTGAGATGCAAATCATGCATAACCAGGATAACTCCGTAAATAGCTCATGATCTTTTACAGCTTTTAATGGGGTTCTTCTTTGTTGGACTGAGAAAATGGTGCGCCGTGTGCTTCTGACGAAGTTCGTTCATGGAGATTAGTTTGAACTTTGAACTCTGTCAGGACTCTCCTAGACCAAGCCAGAAGCCAAATTACAAAAAAAAAAAGAGTCAAACTTCTAGAGAGAGAAGAGAAGACGATGCAGAGGATATTTCCCCCACGCGCAATCAGAGAGCTAATGCCCTCATCCACCGCGTCAGCATTTCACTTACCTCTCTCCACTCCTACTTTCACTCTCCACAACCGCAGAATGCTCCACTCCCGACCAAATGCATTTTCTACATATTAAAATTGTGTCGTATAATCTTCGGATCCTGACATTCTAGATTCGGTATTCATGTAGTTTTTTTGTTTGAACTTAAAATATAAATTATAAAAATATTTGATGTATGATATTTAGCAAATTTAAATGTATTGAATAGATGTCGCGTGATATAAATTGAAGAAAGACAAAAAATGATTAGTTACAATCATATTCGAAAAAAAAAAACTAAATAGAAGCTATTAGTCAGATAATTCTCGATGAAAACAAAATTATCGAAAGCAAAGGCTATAAAAGGTATATAGTGGAGACGATGTATAATATATTCAAACTCCCACAAGAACCACGATCTGGATATTTTTAGGAATAGTTTAGAAAACAATTACTTCTACAATTAAGACTATTAATCCAATTTTTTCTGTTAATAAAGTCCTTTCCATTGAATTAATAAGAAATTTTCTTTTATTAGTTCCATATACTATTTGATTATCCGTTAAATTTCATCTAAGAAAGTTATGAAATAAAATAGTTGAACCTATCATAAACAATCGTTTAAAAACTGTCTGTCGATTGGGTGTTATACAAAAAAACCACACCCCTAAACACTAGTCTAATAAAAAAAAAAAATTATCGCATGAGATATCTATTTATCTCTCCAAATGGTATTTTACACATCCATGTGATTTGTGTGGTTACTTGAGTGTTTATAAGTACTACAATGGACGACTCACAATGAATGAAATCAATAATGGACATGATACCATATCTTATTGTCATATATGAACTATTTTCTCACTATTAACAGTCCTCCCCACTTAATAAATTTCTTATTATTGGCAGCAGTCTCATTTATAAGGGACAATATTAATCTTATTTCTCTTTTTTACTACAACATTCCTATTTTTTTTCCTTTATTTATTCATTTTACAACACTCTTATTTCAAGAACAGTTACACATGGGGATGATAATCGAGTCCATACACTTAGATTTGACTCATTTTGGCTTCGATTTGTTCTTAAAATGAGTCGAATTTGAATAATTTTTTAAACTTGACACGAGAAAGCAAAACTTGATTTGTTTATATGTAAAATAATTAGCTAATTGGATTCAGCTTAGCTTAAACTCTTGAACAACCTTTTAGAATTATTTTAAAAAATGAACTCGATAGATTCCACTTAAATTCTCAAAACTTGGCTCAATTACCAACTTTTACTATGCAAAATATTTGGGTTTTTTTTTTCTTTGGTCAAGAAAAATAGTTGGGTTAAAAGAGGAGTATTGGCATGAGTGGCCACTAATTAAACTCCCAGACAATAATTAAAAAAAAAAAAGATTTAGTACAATTTGTACAATCTTTAAACGCGTGGATTATGATTTGGACCATGATGCCCACCTCGAAGTTTTATGGTCAACCACATTTATCTTCGCATTATGCCATCTTGGTCCTCCATGGACATTTTATTCACACCTATATAGTCACCATTTTTTTCATTTTCAACGGGTCAAGAATGTTTATGAGAGTTTATACGTAACTTAACTAAATTTTTTTAAAATTAAAAATTATATTTTTAATCTAATTTGGTGACATTATCTAATAACATAATAGATCATAGTCATTATATAACCCTAAGCTTTTCAAACCCCGCTTATTTTCTATTTATTTATTTATAGACACCAAAACATGACCATATATATGGTGTAAAATCAACTACCAATTATACTGCTAGATATTTGTTTCTTCTTTATTATCATCTCATTGCTTACTACCCCCCCTTCTCATTTTCTCTTCTCTCTCTCTCTCTCTCTCTCTCTACACACGCGCACACACACACGGGGTAAGAAAACAAATACCATGGACAAGGCCCTCTTTTATTCCTTAGACCTTTTGTATTAAACTAGACTTAAATAATCTTATACTATCTGATTCAATCTCTCTCTCTCTTTCTCTCTAATCACCTAAAGTTTATACTGATTGGTTATGGAGTTCTTCAATAAGGCCAAGGCTGTCAAACTTCGAAGCCATCTTGACAAGTACCTAGTCGCCGACGATAACCAAGAAACAGTCCGGCAGAGCCGAAACAGCACGTCACGTAAATCTCGGTGGATCGTCGAGTTCGTCGATAGCAACAGCCACGTTATCCGTCTCAAAAGCTGTCATGGCCGATACCTCACCGCCTCCAAAGAGCCTTTCCTTCTAGGCATGACCGGAAACAAGGTAATTCAAACAGTTCCGGCGAAGACGAAGGACATGTCGATCGAGTGGCAGCCAATACGAGATGGGTTTCAGGTGAAACTTAGGGCTTTTTGTGGGACTTATTTACGTGGAAACGGAGGTCCACCGCCGTGGAGGAACTCGATGACCCATGATAGCCCTCATGGTGGTTCAACACATAGTTGGATTTTGTGGCACTTGGAGACAGTGGATGTGCCGGAAAATGAAACGTTGACGGATTATTTGTCGCTGATTTCGAGTTTTTCTTCTGTTTCCGGTGAACTTTCCGGTTTGGATTTGGGTTCGCCGGTGTCAA